ACTTGATTGAAAATATGAGAATATATACAATGTAATTATAATTGAAGACTATGAAATGGAAGCACAAAACAATTTGTAAACCAACTGGCACACTGTATGTATATATAGGGAAGATGGCTTGATGTTTTTATGTTTTGTTTGTCTATGTTCATTTTAAAAACCAATAAAAATTAAAAAAAAATAGAAATCTGAGCATGATGGAGTTTTAAGGGGAACAGCCATTGCATATGGGTAGTCCCACACTTGCCAGAAGAGATCTTGATCCAGTGGCCTGGAGAAACATTATGTCTGGAGACCTCTCTTGCTAAGAGGATGACCAGGATATCAATATCTTTTTAGGCAACACCTGCTGGGTCTGTCTGCTTGACTGACGGTTGATCATTCTTCTTTGCTTAATCTGCTAGGGTCAGTGTTCACACGATTGGATGGACAAATCTAGTATCTCACAGAAAATTGAAGAACCATCGGCTATTCTCACCTGGTTTTGCTGTTGATGAGATAGCTTATCAGGGTACGGCTAGTACACATATTACAGCTACTTGGAGCCACAGCTGAGACCTGAGTGCCAGGTGGGGACCAAAGGGGAACAAATAGCTCTGAAAAGTGTGTTGCTGGCCCCTCCACCAGAGGTGTTACACCTCTACCTCCCTGAACACCCCACCTGACAACCTAATGTATTATCCCAATCTTTCAAATTGAAAAAATGAAAGATCGTCCAAGTGAAAAACTCTTAATTTCATCTTTTTTCCCCCTTAGTACTACCCAAATTATTATTTTTTTCATATTTGTCAGTAGTAATTCCATGCCTGGTATTTGCAGAAAATATACATTCAGAAATTTACACTCACTTAGATAAAATATCTAGTTTCACTGAAGAGTAAACTAACCAAAACAATCACCTACTAGATTTTTTTATATATAGTCGTGTTTATTAAACAGTTTACTCTGGTCCATAAGTACCAGAGAGGCCAGATTCAAATTTCACCTCTCCACTTTTATAATTGGTCAGAAAGTAAATTCAAAGAAGGCAAGAAAATTCAGTCTCGATATGAAGTGTTACTTTTTTTTTTACAAATTTCATCCCATCTGATAATTTTTGTAGATTAGTTGCAAAAGAATCTTTCTAGCCAATGATGTGAGATCATTCTAAACAGAAGCCAAGACTCCGATGAAGAGTTATTGAGCATTTCTGCTCATTATCAGCAGCAGTGAACATGAAAATCAAACAGCAATAGTACCCTCTAGTGGTTATACAACTATAACATATATGCTAGTTTTTCATTTTCAAATTTCAATTCTTAGTCTGCTAGTCGTATGTCTACATAACGGCATAATGTCCCATCTTGGAAAGGCTTCCTCATTCATTTCAAAAGGATAGTTGCTTTCATTGCTTTACTTGTATGAATAGGTCTGTGTGAAATAGGACATAAGTAAAGAAATTTGTGATGATGGGGTATACAGACTCAGATCCATGCATCAATTCAAAGCAAGTACAGGTAGTTCTTGACATACAATAGTTCATGTAGTGACTGTTCAAAGTTACAACGGCACTGAAAAAAATAACTTATGACCATTTTTCACACTTATGACCATTGCAGTATCCCCATGGTCACATGATTTACTTTCAGATGCTTAACAACTGCGTCCTATTTGTGACAGTTGTAGTGTCCTGGGGTCATGTGATCATCTTTTGGAACCTTCTGACAAACAAAGTCAATGGAGAAGCCAGATTCATTTAACAACCATGTTACTAATTTAACAACTGCAGAGATTCACTTAGCAAATGTGGCAAGAAGGGTCGTAAAATGGAGCAAAGCTCACTTAACAAACATTTCACTTAGCAACATAAATTCTGGACTCAATTGTAGTTGTAAGCCGAGGACTACCATTTATTTTATTTAGAAGATTACTGATTCTTTTTTAGAAACAAATAAAACAGCGTGCCAAGAAAATAAAATCATAATAATCATCTAGTACAAGACTGATTCAGGTATAATGCAATATAAATTAAAAAAAAATTCTTGCTGCCTGCAGGAAAACTTTAATAGGGAGATCAGGAAATGTTTGTAAAAATACATATCATAAGCTGGGGCAGAGAGATGATCTACTAAGAAGGCCAGTAACCTGGAATCTACATACATAGAGTACATACTGTTACTATTCCATTTTGAAGTAAGCAACTTTTGTGCAAAGTACATAAAAGTATGAAACAGGAATTGAAAGGAATTGCCTCATAAAGCAAGAAGAGCAAAAAAAATCCTTCTAAATGTAATCTATACCAAGTTATTCACTGTATCCTTCTAAGTCTTTTTATACTTGCAAGTATAACTACTTCCTATCATGTTTGCTTCTACCACCTCCACGGATTCAAAGTTCCTTTTGTTCCTTAAATTTCTTTTTGAGGTTCTCAACTCCATCTATCAGGAAATTTCTGTTAGGACATTTCCTATCAGTGAGAACAAATCTAACCACAATTTTTTTAGTCTTCCCTTTTCTCTCAGTTATAATACAATCTGCATTCAGTCTGTCCATATGACCAAACCATTTCAAAATAGTTCTTTCAAAACTGACAATTCAGGTTTGTATTCAACCCATATTCACTCAACCTCCATTCATTCTTGACTCTATCATTTCTTATGTAAGATCTTGATGCTAGTATACAGGTAAAACTGAAAAAATTAGAATATCGTACAAAAGTTCATTTATTTCAGTAATGCAACTTAAAAGGTGAACCTAATATATGAGATAGATTCATTACATGCAAAGCAAAATAGATCAAGCATGATGTGTCATCATTGAGATGATTATGGGTTACAGCTCATGAAAACCCCAAATCCACAATCTCAGAAAATTAGAATATTGTGAAAAGGTTCAATATTCTAGGCTAAAAGTATCCCACTCTAATCAGCTAATTAAGCCATAACACCTGCAAAGGGTTCCTGAACCTTTAAAAGGTCTCTCAGTCTGGTTCAGTAGGAATCACAATCATGGGAAAGACTGCTGACCTGACAGTTGTGCAGAAAACCATCATTGACACCCTCCATAAGGAGGGAAAGCCGCAAAAGATAATTGCAAAAGAAGTTGGATGTTCCCAAAGTGCTGTATCAAAGCACAGTAATAGAAAGTTATGTGGAAGGGGAAAGTGTGGAAGAAAAAGGTGCACAAGCAGCAGGGATGACCGCAGCCTGGAGAGGATTGTCAGGAAAAGACCATTCAAAAGTGTTGGGGACTTTCACAAGGAGTGGACTGATGCTGAAATCAGTGCATCAAGAGCCACCACACACAGACGGATCCTGGACATGGGCTTCAAATGTCGTATTCCTCTTGTCAAGCCGCTCCTGAACAACAAACGTCAGAAGTGTCTTTCCTGGGCTAAAGAAAAACAGAACTGGTCTGTTGCTCAGTAGTCCAAAGTCCTCTTTTCTGATGAGAGCAACTTTTGCATCTCATTTGGAAACCAAGGACCCAGAGTCTGGGGGAATAATAGAGAGGCACACACTGCAAGATGCTTGAAGTCCAGTGTGAAGTTTCCAGTCTGTGTTGATTTGGGGAGCCATGTCATCTGCTGGTGTTGGTCCACTGTGCTTAAGTCCAGGGTCAATGCAGCCGTCTACTAGGAGATTTTGGAGCACTTCATGCTTCCTTCCACAGACGAGCTTTATGGGGATGATGACTTTATTTTCCAGCAGGACTTGGCACCTGCCCACACTGCCAAAAGCATCAAAACCTGGTTCAATGACTGTGGGATTACTGTGCTTGATTGGCCACCAAACTCCTCTGACCTGAACCCCATAGAGAATCAATGGGGCATTGCCAAGAGAAAGATGAGAGACATGGGACCGAACAATGCCAAAGAGCTGAAGGCTGCTATTGAAGCATCCTGGTCTTCCATAACACCTCAGCAGTGCCACAGGCTGATAGCTTCCATGCCACGCTGCATTGAGGCAATAATTGCTGCAAAAGGGGCCCAAACTAAGTATTGAATATATATGCATGCTTATACTTTTCAGAGGTCTGATATTGTTCTATGTACAATCCTTGTTTTATTGATTGCATGTAATATTCTAATTTTCTGAGATTGTGGATTTGGGGTTTTCATGAACTGTAAGCCATAATCATCTCAATTATCTTGCTTTGCATGTAATGAGTCTATCTCATATATTAGTTTTACCTTTTAAGTTGCATTACTGAAATAAATGAACTTTTGTATGATATTCTAATTTTTTGAGTTTCAAAACATTGGCTATTTGGCAGCTCAGCAGACTCCTGGCTCATATTTAAGTGGTAGTCCACTAAGATTCCTAGATCCCTTTCACATACTACTGTTGAGCCAGGTATCATATCCTGTTCCTATACGTTTGGTTTTTCTTGCCTATGTGCAGGATCTTATTTTTCTCACTACTGAACTGCATCTTGTTGGATAGGGCCTAATGTTCAAGTCTATCAAGAACCTTCTGAAACTTGAATCTATGTTCCAAAGCATTTACAATTCCCCCCAGCTAAGTGTCATCAACAACTTTGATGGGTTCCCCTTCTATCCCCCTCATCTAAATCATTTTTGAAGATACTGAAAAGCATTGGATCAAAACAGAACTTTGAGGTACTCCTACATGATGGAATTTTCATTTCCTTGGGATGTATTTGATACAATATGAGTTGCAAAACGCTTCTCACCAGATTGGTGTATTACTTTTAGGTAGTCTAAGCTTGGCTTCATTTGTACAGTATGTATAAAGGAGGGGAGCACCAAGATTTGTCACTGAGCCTTAATCCGCCACTGGGTGGAATGATTTTTCCAAAATGGTCTGATTTATTCCAAAAATATTCTCCCAAGCGCTAAAAAAAAACCAACAACCCAGTGTAAAACTCACACCTCACCTCACCTCCTGATTTTACTTTCCCGACGGTAAAGGTCGCAGTTCGCCTACAATGCTGCCATGCTATTGGAGTGAGGACGACTTTATATTTTTGAAAAAGGGATTAGGTTTCGCATGGTAAAAGCTGAGAACAGGATCTCCAAAATGCGGTTTGGCGCCCTCTATCGGAAAGGGGGGATGGCCCGGCGCCAAAAGCACCAGGCGATTTGGGAAGCTGCGCCTTCGCCTACAGGAGGCAAACTTCTCAGCGGCCTCCCCCTCCGCGATCAGGGAGGGAGAGGAAAGCGGAGGCAGCGTCGACGTCCGGGGGGGACCTGACACCGGCTGTTTCCCGCAACAAGGTCGCAATGGCTGACGGAGGAAGTCGGAAGCGGCCGAAGAAGGCTCGCCGCTGCAGCCGCTATTTTTGCACTGCGGGACGCGGGATGGAGCCCTTCCTCATCGAAGAAGTGCAGGCTCGTTTGGGCGCCACTCAGGTGAGCGGCTCCGGACTCTTTAGGCCGCGCCGGGCTCGCTCGATAAAATAACGGCTTACAAGCTCGCTTTCCTCGCCGCAGAAACTATACGGAAAGGGAGGCAGCGATAGCGGTCTTGGGTTGAAGTGAAGGCTGGGCCAATTGCTCGTTTGTACGCTCGCTACTTCGGAAAACCATTTCCTGCAGTGAGCCATGTTTATTCAAAAGTCCCACCGCGCGGTTTTGGCCTCCCCGTGCGATTCCCGTGTCGCGACTATGTTTGAATGACTACAGGTACTCCTCAACTTACGATCACTATTGAGCGCAGCATTTCTGTTGCGAAGTGAAAAACATGTTAGGTGAGTTTTGACCCATTTTACGACTTTTCTTGCCACATTTATTAAGTGAATCACTGCGGTCATTAAATCGGTAACACGGTTGTTAAGTGACTCGCTTCCCCATTGACTTTGCTTATCAGAAGGTCACAAAAGGGAATCATGTGGTCCCGGGACATTACAACCGTCATAAAAGGGAGTCAGTTGTCAAGTATCCGAATGTAAATCCATGACCATGGAGATGCTGCAATGGTCATAAGTGTGAAAAAGGGTCCCAAGTCATTTTTTTCACTGCCATTGTGAACAGTCACTAAGCGAACTGTTGTAAGTCGAGGACTACCTGTATGTATGTTTGAACTTGTATGCACCTCCCGTAGCTTGCATCACATCTTACCACAGCTCACTTCAGTCTGGTGTTAGAAATCCCATTTTTAACTGCTTGTGACATTTAGGCTGTATTTATAATCATGTGCATTATTACCATGTGCAAAATTACATGTGCAAAATTTGGGTTCTAAAATAATGAGTTTTTGAGTTTTTAATCATTAAATGGCAGATGTCAGGGAAAGGAACTTAAATATTCCTTTATAGTAGGCAACCTGGAATTCCTGGATGCATTGCAGTTATTGAAAGAGCAAGAATTTTTTGCTGGAATAAATAACAATAAAACAAGGTGGTCTGTGATGTTTGTACAGGTAAACTGCAAGTTTTTTATTAGTTCAGTGAGAAGTATTGTTGCTTTCAGGGATGAAGATTTTTCTCTTGTATGTGTAACTTCATCTATACGATAATTATAAATGCTGATTATTATTTTTTTGCCTGGATCCAAAAGATGATTTCAGCTTTGTAGTGTAAAATCTGTTAGTGATAAGCATTCCTTGGTTTATTGTCTAAGTCTTACACTAAGTTTAGAATAATTGTCAGTAGGAAAAATTATCTACCTTTTAATTTCCCATATTATGGGATTTATCACAGGCTGATTGAAAAAATAAGCCAATCTGTAGCAAGTGGTCATAAAAATGTTTTTATTAAATTTAGTGATTTGCTGAGGGCATGACGTAGAGCTTTGTGAATCGTTCAGTTCTGCTGTGCATGTAAGTTCAGAACTAAGTTCTTCTGTGTAACAACAGTTTTACTCCATAGGGAATATTATACAGAATTTCAAAAACTGTAGGGATTTCTTCATCCAGAACATTCCATAATGTGAGCCCTTAATCTCACAGCAAGGCTGTTGCTTTGGATTGTGTCAACACTCAATGTCAGATAATTCAACAGAGCTGAAGAAGCTTCTTGGATGAGAAGCAAAATGTCTTCAAAGAAAAACCAGAAAGTCCAGTTGCCTCCAGAAAAAGCACCTTTGGGACAGTCATGATCTGATGACTGAGAATCTCCATAGACATATTGGAACACTGCTATTATGTCAGTTCTTCTTTTCACTAGACTAGACAAATCCAGTTCTTGCAACCGTTCTTTATATGTGTTAGCCTCCAGCCCCCTAATTTTGTTGCTCTTTTCTGCACTCTTTCTAGAGTCTCAATATCTTTTTTACATCGTGGCAACCAAAGCTGGATGCGATATTCCAAGTGTGATCTTACCAAGGCATTATAAAGTGGTATTAACACTTCATGTGATCTTGGTTCTATTCCTCTGTTAATGCAGCCTAGAACTGTGTTGGCTTTTTTGGCAGCTGCAGCACACCGTTGGCTCATATTTAAGTGATTGTCCACTAAGACTCCAATCTCTCTCTCAATGGATAAATGAAATCAGGCAAACACAAGCATCCCTCTTTGCTTATTTTCATAGTAACCAGTGCATTTTATAAACAAGGTCAGTTGCTTGTATTAATCCATTAATAAGGATTATATTTTTAAAAAATCAACTTTCAAATATATATCCAGTTTTATTTATTGGTATGCATTCTCTTTCAAGGTAGAATATATATCGGGAAAAGTTTTCTTCAGTACCAATCTTGAGCTGAGTATGTTGAAGAAACTAAAGTCAGCTGAAAGATTATTTTTGCTGCTAAAGAAATGTCCTCCACTTTCCTTCCGTGGGAATAAAGGTAACTGTCTTCTATGTTCTTGTGTTAAGAGATTAATACCAATTTCTTTCAACTTTAGCATCCACTAGCATTTTAGAATTAAGTGATCATTCTAATTCATGGGGGACTTATTCTCATTCAGTTTGCTCTGGATTATAGATTAAACTGATTTGAAAGCTTTTGTTCCACAAAAGGTTTTATTGTTGTTGTTGTTTTAATTAGGAAGCATACAGGCATGCCAATGAATTTACCAAATCTACAAAGGAAGAAGTTGGCTTGTTACATAACTGGAGCATTAAAAGTATGAAATCTAATAGGAAATCTTGTCTTTTGTTTTAGATGTTAAATGATATGACAAAATGTATGGACTAATAATTCACTATTTTATTTCAGGAAGAATAATCCAGGATGTTCAAAAACTTGTAAATGAGAATCCAAGATGTTGGCTGGATACAACTGCTGTCTGGAGAAGTCTTTATGATCAGTCGGCAAAGCAACTAAACTTGTGCCAAGAATACCCAGATTCCAAAAAACAGAAATTGGAAGAGGAAAAACATATTGAAAATGAAAAGCAAAAAATGCAAATAATATTAGAGACAGATACTATTAAAAATCAAATTGAAGATCAGCAAAAATGTGATACACATGATGTTTGTAAAGACATTTTATTGCCTCAGGGCAGACTTTTTCTAGAAAACACTCCTGAACTTATTCGAGACAAAACTATTGTTTGCAATAGTTGTTTTAGTTTCAGAGTATCATGTCGTTGCAGTGGAATACTTGCAAAATTATTTACTGCACAGGTATGTAAAAGATTATTCATTTGAAAACTCAGGAGCTACTAAGCTTCATGAAAACTGAAGGATAATATGTAGAGAACAAATTAATGTATTAAGAATCTAAATAAATCTCTTACACTTCTATAGGACAAAATGTGATGATCTGGGGCGTGAGACAAAAATTACTAAGTCACAAAAATAGAAGAAAGTCCCTTTAATGCCTCCAACTTGGCCCCAGTGTCCAATTATCCTCGGGAGGATATCAAACTCTTAAAAAAAACAGTTTATGGAGGGAGTAAATGCAGTCCGCACCCAAAGTAAAGTTAATTTGAAATAAAAAACCTAACACACCACACTGAAGGAATTACTATTATTACAGGCAAGGATGATTAATTGCAGATTTCTACCAGATAACGCAGCAACCACAGTTGGGAGGAAGCCAAAGCACAGATAAGTTCCGACAAGAATGCACGCTTTGCTTCCAGCAACTTTGCCATGCGCAGTTTGTCCTTTTAACCAGTCCTCCCAGCTGCAGCCCATGAGGGGAATCAGGGCCCCTTCCTCCTATCACACCACTCAAGTTTCTCCCTTATCCACTCCTCCCTGCATGGCCTAGAATGAAGAGGGGATGGGCCTGGGTCTTCCTCTGAATGCCCATCCAGCCTGTGCCCTTCCCCAGTTTTCTCCACAACCACCAGAGCCACACTTTCACTCCCTGTCAGCTATTTCATCACTCCCTCAGTCAGACTCTAACAGGGGCATGACACAAAAAGTATCCATGATGTGCTGTATTTTCCAGATTTTATTCTTTTTAAACATGCTAATTCGCAATGTTAATTTCCTCTCTGCAATTATATCTGTGGCAAGTCTTACAGCTACTATTGTGTTTAGGAGTATATTCAACCGCACAATGCCAACTCATTGTACATACAGTTTACAGGGATTTTTTTTCATATTCTATTGCATGAAAAAGTACATTACACTCAAAATAACATTAAAAAAAATAAAACCACCTTACCAACCACAATTAGGACCAGCAACTCTGTCACCAAGTGACGCAGTCATATAGTGAAACATGACTGCCGCTTGTAACTTCCTGCTGGCTTTCCCATTGACTACTTGTCTTGAAGCTAACTGAAGAATGCAAATGATAATCATTACCATGGGATGCTGCGATACTTGTAAATGTATAATGGTTGACAAGCTACCGAATCAGGATCATATGACCAAGGGGATACTGCAATGGCCACAACTTTGAGGACCAGTTTTAAATCTCTCTTTTTAGTGCTGTGATAACTTCAAAAGTAGCTGAACAAGAGGCCGGTAAATGAGGACTACTTGTACATCCATTTGAAAATGGCTAGCAAAACAGTAAATTTTCTTAATAATTCTACTGTCTGTCCAGATTATTCTGGAACTGTCAGAAAGGATATTTAATTTACTCTTTAGGCATAATTACATTTAGTGAGTGACATCAACATAGAAAAAAATAGCACTGTTTGAAGGTGGGGAAACGAATTTGAATATTTTGTTAAAGCTAAGCAGTTGTAACTTCACTCTTCTATGCTGTCTTTTGGAATTCCTCTTAATTGTCAAGGAGATGGAGGACAAATTAAATTTTAGTACTGTCATTTTGAAAGCTTAGTTTCCTTACCATGTGTGGGTGTGTTGTAATGTGCATGCATATACATGCATACAATAAAAATAATTTGCTAGATGTTTTACTCTGTTGGAGCTTTTTTTCAAGCCATTGCATAACACGACAAACTAAAATAAGCATATTTGAACTTGTATGGCCTGATTTCAGTAAACATACATAAGGTAGGGGTGTAAAATATGTCTTATGGCTTCTATAATATTCGGCATAACTGTTTTGTTTGCTGTTTTCTATTCTAAGCATCTATATAATATGCAACCTACCCAAATAATTCTCATGTCTGATTTGTGATTATTTTTTCAGGAACTGGGGAAAATTATTGGAATAGCTCTTATGAAAAATTTTGGATGGAAAGCAGATCTTAGAAATCCTGATTTAGAGGTATTAATCCAACTTAAGTTGAATTGTTGGAAGCTTTGGGCTTTGCCTTCTTCAGATATCAAATGATCTCTGATATATGACTGGAGGATATTTTTAATGTGTATTCTTGTTAATAAAAATGAAATATGTTACGCTTGTAGAATTTAGCTTCCTTATGTTTTGTCTTCTGTAAGTTCCTGTGAAAACAGAAAATGACTTCCAACTGGCTTAAGAGACTGAGGTATTGTATTGTTCATTGTGAACTTAAAAGACAACAGTCATAGTGGAGCAAGTTGTCTGCCAGAACCTTTGAACTTAATCATGACTGAAATCTGAAAAAAATTACAGAAATCTAAAAACAGATAAAAGACACAAAGTAAACAGTGTTATAAAAATAAGGGATATAGATAGAATTTGAAAAGTGGCAAACCTTAAAGATAAAAGCCAGGTAATGCTTCCACATTTCCTGTAGGATCTATCATTTTCATTGAACTTACTTTCACTCTCCTGAATTCTGGTGGAGGATATCCTGCATGTGCAACAAGATTTGTAAATGGTTTACAATATCACTAGTAGAAAGTTTATGCCACTTTAGCTGAAAATATTTGGACAGTATTAAGTTGAGGTTTTGTACATTTTTCTTTTCTTCTTCTATCATATGTGTTTGCCCTGATGGAAAAGCAGAAGAATCAATTTTGTACTGTCTTATACAGTACCCCTTTATTATACTTCAGATAGATATCTTACATACATTTAAGGATGAGATTGCTTTTTAGAATAAATCAATACATCCTTCAGAAGGTGACTAAGATATTATCTATTACTTTGTCGATTTGCAAGTAAATATTGTAAATTTTCATTCTCTTACAGATTTTTGTGCATCTAAATGATGTTTATTCTGTGATTGGGATCCCTCTTTTCAGGTCGATGACATTATAAATTATTATTCCTTACTTCTCGATAAATATTTACTTTTCTAATAGAAAACATGCTCCTCCAAAAAAATTGGATGGAATAGTTTTTGTTCTCATATTGTTGACCTTGAAATAAATTGATAAGTAATAATTCATTGCAATAATTAAATGTTTAAAATGGTAAACCTTTAGCATTCTCTGTCATATAAAAGTATAAATAATTTGGAACATGGTACTTGAAACATTTGTACATTTATATTTCCCTAGGGTATGTGATGTTTTATTCATTGACCTTTAAGCATATAGATTGGTAGAAGTGAGGACAATTGTCAATATGTGAAAAAAGCTGTGATGTATATAAAATAGCATAGTAATATGATTATTGCTGTGAATACTTATCACTTATATTTAGTAATATTGTTATCTTAATTTTTAGCATATCAAAATAATATCCTTGTGAGTTTTAATGAAAAAATTATGGCCAAATACATTTAAGATGAAATTGAAAATAATTTAATTTACTAATTAATTGTAGTTTAACATTTTCACATAGGTCAGCTGTCTTATATGTGAGCAATGGCTATTCTTTACCTGCCTTTTTTATCCATTTTAAGGTCCCCCACCCTTCCATGTGTATGCACAGTATCTATTTTGGTCAATCAAATTCTAACTATTTGGAATGTGAAAAAAAGCCTACATATTTCCAAAACTAGTACTTATGGAGATAAAATGGAGGTAAAAGCAGCCTTAGGAGAATGTCAAAATTTGCAGAAATAAATTTTTAAAAAGGAGAACCCCCTCCCCCGCAAAGAAGTATTCAAATATTCAAACAGCCAATCTCATTGTACACATGTTATACTCTGACAATAAAGGTAATAATAATCAAAACAGTGCAAATATAGATTGTGTGTGCTCACTTTCCATATAATTCTAATTGACAGTGTTGGAAATTAGAGATATAGAATGTGGTATATTGGGATAAAGATATGAATGAAAGGAAATAATCCTGAAGAGAAGCATATCATTATTGACACATGTTAGAATTCTACATATGCATTGAATGTTCTTATTTTTATTTAACTAAATATGTCTATTATTTGCAGACTTCCCCTGGCAAGTCGAGCATATATTAAAACTGCTGGATTGAGATCTACCATTGCTTGGGCTATGACATCGCTTGCTGAAATCAAGGTAATGAGCAAAATAATCATTCTGATTACTAAGCAACTATTATGGGAATTTTATAGGAGCATTTGAAGCATTTAAAGTAGGTGAGAGCTGCATAGTTTGCAATTTCCTTAAATTCAGTGAGGCTTAATTTCTCAATAAATATGAAAAATCAAATCAATAAATATGCAAAATCAGTTCAAATCAAATTAAATTGTCTATTGTCTCTTGGTTTTAATCTCCATGGCGTATATAGGGATAATTACTATAAAATTGTTATCAGGATTATTGAGATGTATAAAAAGGAAGAGAAATACTCAAATGTGCTGTGGAGATGGAGAAAAGTATTAACTATCAAATCTAACTTTGCTGGCTTTATTTATAGTATATACTGTACATTTTTTTCAAACCAAGGAGCAATTACCTATAACTTACAGATTGTATTAAATTGGTTTCTCCCTCTCTTTTCAGGCTGGAGCATTTGTATTGGATCCTATGTGTGGTCTAGGTACAATACTTCTGGAAGCTGCAATTGAATGGCCTGTGAGTTCTGTTCTTCTAAGAAATACCCTTTTTGTTACATTGCAATTGCATCCTTGTTTAATGTCCTCGCAATTAAAATAATCTCCTAAATGATTCTTAGAAATTTTGTGGGATTTAGAATAGAATAGAATAGAATTCTTAATTCGCCAAAGAATTAGACAAATGTGATTGGACACACAAGGAATTTGTCTTTGGTGCATATGATCTCAGTGTACATAAAAAGAAAAGATACATTCGTCAAGAATCATAAGGTACAATACTTAATGATAGCCATAGGGTACAAGTAAGCAATCAAATCATACTAGGAAACGATCAATATAAATCATAAGAGTACAAGCAACAAAGTTACATTCATAAGTGTGTGATAAGAATGATGAGAAGATTGTGACTTCCGGTTTGAACTTCTTCAGCGACAGACCGAACCATGTCTCTGTGTGGTTTCGATCCATGTTCGCCGCTGGAGTGCCCCGAGCCGGCTGGTTTCGGGGAAAAGCCACCCCGTAGAGGTGGTGAAGAAGGGGGAGACTGCCTGCAGGGTTGAGGAGAGCCGCATCTCTCCTCCCCAGCTGGCCATTACTCCCAAGGGGATAATAAAGATTTCTGGATAATTAAAAGCTTTTGAAAACAGGAAAGGAGAGAAAAAGAATAAAAGGGTAGGATCTGGAAGGGAGGAGACTGCCTGGAAGTAAAAAGAACTTACAGCAAAATCTCAACAAGACTTCCAAAAGATACATCTTAACTGAAACATCGCAACAAAATAGTAAAACCCCAGGAAGAGAAAGTGAAAAAAGAAATAAGAAACAGCTCGGGACTATTTGGATTACTTGTTGATCTCTGAATTCTTGGTTATTGCATTTGAATGACTAAAATCAATCAAGTGATTGTTTAAAACTGTTTAAAATGGCTCCACTTTTAGAAGAACTGAAAATGGAACTTTTAAAGTATGAAGAAGATGCACAAGAAAGGAGAGGTTCTTTTGGCTTCGTATTTCAGTTTTTAGAAATGGAGATTTTGAACTATGAGAAACAACAAGAAATACCTGCGGAACAAAAAGATTGTGACAAAGAAGAAGCCATCTTTAATGAACAAGTAATCTTAGGTGGGGGGGGGGAGGAAAGGGGGAAAAGAGAATGGAAAGTTTAAGATTGGGAAAAACAACCCCCCAAAAGGATAGACTGAAAAATAAGTATAAAATTAGAAAGCAACAGAAGAGGGAAATGCAGAAGAGAGAATTAGAAGTAGAGAGACAAGGGGGTAAAAAGGGGAGGGAGAAGAGAGGGAAGAAAGAAATGAAAATAAGTTATAAAGGACAGAAACAAAATATAGAGAAACAAGGCCTATTTAGAGATAATGGGTGAAAATCTAATGGAAAAAGGGATTCTGCAAAGGTACATAAGATAGTATTGTTGTATTAGAAATAGAAATAATTCCAGAAAATATGAAACAATGTATGATTAAAATGTTTGATAAAATAACTATCGTAACTTAGTGGAATGTTTGTCAATAAATAAATGTAACGAAATGAATATTTAATGATTTATAAAACATACATGAAGAGAAATAAGGGAAAAATTAATTATGGAGATTATATGTGTCTTTAAGGAAGTATGATATTTAATTGAAAAGAAATGTTAAAGTTATTAAGACTTTAATGATTATTGATGATAGAACTGAATTGGAATGGAATGAGGGTTTATAATTACATATATTTATAATTCTTTTTTTAAAAAAAGAATATAGTGTGTATTATAAGAATGTACCAAGCAGAATTCGATTAGAAGTTATGTATTATGTATTATATTAGGCCATAACCTTAAAGTATATATTGAAATTTAAATAAGAGTTGAATGGATATAATTAAAAGATATAAAGGTGTCATAGTCCAAATAGTAACTACAGGAGAAAATTTGTTTAATGAGAAAAGATAATATGAAATTGAAACAGAACATACAAAAGTATAAATAAAATGATTTGAATTGAGATGAGATGATCAAAATAAAATTGAGAAAATTAAAAGGGGGGGAAAACTATATAGAAAATGTAGAATAGTATAAGATATGGAATAGAAGACAAAAATGAGCATGAAATTGAGTTTGTGTCTGTATAAAGAAGTTCAACCTGGGACCATGCTATTTTCAAAAAAGATGTTTTATTTGTATTTTGTGTGTGTGAAAACCCAAATAAAACTTTTATTTTAAAAAAAAGAACGATGGGAAGATTAATAGTAACAGTAATGCAGACTTAGTAAGTAGTTTGACAATGTTGAGGGAATTATTTGTTTAGCAGAGTGATTGTGTTCGGGAAAAACCTGTTCTTGTGTCTAGTTGTTCTGGTGTGCAGTGCTCTATAGCTTCATTTTGAAGGTAGGAGTTGAAACAATTTATGTCCAGGATGTGAGGGAGTAAATATCCAGGAGTAAATATTTTCACAGCCCTCTTTTTGACTCGTGCAGTATACAGGTTCTCAGTGGAAGGCAGGTTGGTAGTAAGTGTTTTTTCTGCAGTTCTAATTATCCTCTGAAGTCTGTGTCTGCCTTGTTAGGTTGCAGAACCAAACCAGACAGTTATAGAGGTGCAGATGACAGACTCAGTAATTCCACTGTAGAACTGAATCAGCAGCTCTTTGGGCAGTTTGAGCTTTCTGAGTTGGCGCAGAAAGAACATTCTTTGTTGTGCTTTTTTGATGACGTTTTTATGTTAGGTGTCCATTTTAGGTCTTGAGATATGATAGAACCTAGAAATTTGAAGGTCTCTACAGTTGATACTGTGTTGTCTATTATTGTAAGAGGTAATAATATGGGAGGGTTTCTCCTAAAGTCTACTACCTTTTCTACAGTTTTGAGTGTGTCCTGTTCCAGATTGTTCCGGTCGCACTATGAGGCTAGTTATTCAATCTCCCGTCTATATGCAGATTCATCATTGTCTCGAATGAGACCAATCACTGCTGTATCATCTGCAAACTTCAATAGTTTAACAGATGGATTGTTTGAGATGTAGTCATTGCACAGAGAGAGAAGTGGAGAGAACACACAGCCTTGGGGGGGGGGGGCTGTGCTAATTGTACAGGGTATCTGATGTGATTCTGCTTAGTTTCACTTGCTGCTTCCTGTCTGTTAGGAAGCTTATGATCCACTTACAAGTGTGTTCAGATACTGCTAGCTGGTTTAGTTTAGTTAGAAGAATGTCTGGAATGATGGTATTGAATGCAGAATTGAAGTTTACAAAGAGGACCCTTGTGTAGGTCTTTGGAGCTTAACATTCATTCAATAATTAGTATTTGCATAACTATGTGTATAAGAAAACAAGTATTCTGTCAATTCTTTGTTCATAAAATTCCTAAAACACTTCCTGATCAGCTTAATTATTAGCTTACCAGTTACCAGTAGACAAACTTAGAATTTTTGAAGTACGAGTTTCAAACTTCATTTGAACTTACATCTCCTGAGATCTTAGAAACATCTTTATTTTTTTAGTTAAAAAGTATCTTTTTCTATTTTTTTTGTTAAAAAACAATTGTATTGCAAGTTAAAACAGGCTGAAATAACATCTAAAGGTTACAGTCATAAATTAACAGATTTCTGCATGTGGATAATAAAAATTGCTTACTAGAAATAACAGACAAAAAAGAATAAGCTTTTCTTCCAGAATAACTAAAATACAGCCCAAATTAAGGCAACTAGAACTAGAAATGATGCTGACAGGATGGAATAAGGATATTATGGGGAATTGACCAATAGATCACTCCTACATTAACACCATGCCTTGGAACACAGGCAGGTTTATAATTTCACCTCTTTTAGAGAAGTATCACAGAGCTGTCAACCAGTAGTACACCATGAAGGCTGCATCATTTTCCCTTCACTGGAAGTATTTAAATAAAGGATAGATAGCCATCTATCCAAAATGTTTTAATAGACCCTCCATGAAACAGATGATTAGACCACATAATCTCTGAGATCACTTCCAATTCTATGATGTTATGAAAATTGTAACCTTCAACCTTTCTCCAGAGCTATGGCAAGTTTAAGTGTTCCAAGTCTCCAAGTATCATGTGTCACAGACACATAACAAGGAAGAAATCCTTTTCTCAACCTAAAGAGAAGGGCAGGGATAATGGTCTTTGCTTTGCTGAAGCACCTGCAAGTTCTTCATCATCTAATCCTCATCAGAGTAATGGGAGAAGTAGCACACTGACTGTCAAACTTTTTACTGGCTACTAATGCCAGTTAAAATATGCAGATATCTAATTGCAATATTTATTAAGAGTGACAGATTGTTTAAACCGATTTAGATGGATTGGAAAATAAATTCTATTTGGAAGTTTTTAAGAAATTAGTTTCTCTTTCAAAATATTACTGGTTATTTGAAAAACAAACTATTGAATTTGTAATATTTTATATATTGTGTTCATAGTATATAACTTTATTGCTATGCATTTAAAATAATTAAGCAAATTACAGTTTTATTTGACATCTTTAAAATAGTTATAATGGCATTAGACAAATATCCCTTCAGGGGAACATTTGAAAACTGCAATGTCACCAAAGAATACCTTCATTCTACACTTCTCAAAGGTACTAAGAGAAGATCCGTGTCCAATTATTTTAATGCACAGGTGAGCTAACGGGGGGAATATTCTTAAGATCTTTAGGATTTAAGATACTTTGAATATAAAGATATGAACCATTAATTAGAGTCATGCTCAGAGGTGAATGGGCGGCTGTTAAAATTTTATTCAGAATATGATCGATCCCACATATTCAAATCAGCTAACATTCCAACTACAAAATTCTGCAGTAGCAAAAATTTAGTACTGTAGTGTCTGTTATATTTATATTATTATCTACAGATAAACATGGATGAATAACTTAACATTATTTTCATTTTTTTAATCAGATATAATCATTTTGAACCAGATTAATCATTTTTTCAGTTTTTGAGATATTTCGCAGAAAAACAATGAATTAATGACTGACCATTTCCAATTTATGGTCCTTCTTATCTCTGATTTCACTGATACTATGAAAAGCAAACAAAAGTTAAATGTTTTATTTCATTTCTGTGTCATCAGATTCTATTTCCTTGCAAATTTGTGTTATTTTGTTGTGAAAATCTTCCTGGGTTCCTTTCTCCAACTTGCAAAAAGCAGCTGCTTGGGAAGAAGTTTCCCTATTTTATTTGGGTCAGAAACAGTACAAAGCTTGTTTCTGAGACAGTGGACTGGCATATCAGCAAAGTTTATATACATTTTCTAGCTTTTGGTGTGAGTGAAATATGTTTTAAATGACCACGAGAAAGCAAGAAATATAGCTTTTATGGCTAGAGAAAATATTCTGTTTGTTATCTTCTTTATCAGCAGAGATCTTCCTGGCCAGGCTGAGGTGCTAAATTCCTGGGTCTTTTTCAGCTTAGATTTCCTGCCTGTCAGTGATATATTGCCTTTAAGGCAGGGGTCCCCAACCGCCAGTCCCCGGACCGGTACCGGTCCATGGATCATTTTGAACCGGGCCGCCTACTTTGCTTGGGCACCATCTTGTTTCGAAGTCTGCCCTCAGCAGCGCCAGTCAGCGGCCTGAGGGAGAAAGGAACGCGGGGTGGGGAGAAAGCCTGCCCTAGCGGCTCCGCCACAAAGCGCCTCTTTCCGCCTGGGGAAAGGGAGCGAAAGCGAGAGAGAGGCATGTGAGCCGAAAGCTGGAGTGGGGTGGAATGAAGGGGCTCAGATCCTGATCCAGACCCTTTGCGGGAGCCCCCGAAAGCAGCCCTGCTCTTGTCTGGGGTGCCGGAGGGGCGCTGGGGCCATAGCTCGGCGGTGGCGGAGCTGTCAGCCGGGGGAGGATGAGGGTGCGCAATGAAAGGCGCCGGGCGGAGGCAAAGGCAGTCACCGCCCGAAACAACCGGGAGAGGAGAAGAGAAGAGAGCGAAAGAGACGAGAATCCTAAAACACACAGGGCAGAATGTTGCTTTAGCCAAGCTACACAGCGAATATCTACTAAAAGTTTGACTGATTTAATATGGATTTATTCCCGGGTAATTGAAAGTCTTATTTCAGCTGGAAGAATTCTAGACAATGCTCTGCTTGCCAAGGGGTTGCAGCGAAATGGGGCAAGAGAGATCCGGAAAGAAGTGGACTCTCCAGGTATTTGGAAGGAATCCCCGGAATTCCTTATATGTCTGGATTTCTGAACCTCAACAACTTTAAAATGTGTGGACATGGACTCTCTGAATTCCCCGCACACCTTACAATTGTTAAGATTGTGGAAAGCTGAAGACCATATGGGAGATCAAACCCATCCTAAATGTAAAATCTGAATTGCAGATTATTACCTTACAAAACGCTTTTGGAGAAAACATATATTTTTGCCAAACATATATTTTTGTTTGATCATGATCAACTGAATCATGATGACTTTATTGGAGTCTAGTCTTGCATTTATACACATTTTTAGTAATCCTCCAACATTGGTTAATTTTGGTGAGTTGATTAGTGTAATAGTAAATAAAATAAAAAATATAACTAACTAACTAACTAACCAACCAACCCTAACCGGTCCTTGAAAAAGTGTTCCTGCGTGAAACTGGTACAAAAAAGGTTGGGGACCACTGCTTTAAGGAAACATTGTATTTTATGAGTGGTGACCGGTTTTTCTGACTCCAGATCAGAAGGCTGTTAAAAGGAGGAGGGGCAGATCAAAGGCTTTTTAACTTCTATCAATTTGATTCTATCTTAATATAATTGTTTGTTTCCTCTACAGAATGTGTATTATTTCGGATCGGATATAAGTGATTCACAGTTACAAGGAGCCTACTCAAATATTAGAGATGCAAGCCTGATAGATAAAATTGAACTATTTAAATCTTCCGTGACAGGTAAATATTAACAAGAGTACCTTGTGTAAATTACATAAAAATTACACCATGTATAAAATTTGATATATGTATTATTTTATTTTTATTGGCTTGCAAATGCCTTCTTTATAGAACTAGAATGTAAGTAACAAACTCTCTTTTTCCCAAAATTATTCTATGCCATTTAAGCACTTGATTTAATATATATGTCTTTGGAATTAAGGTTGGAAATTGATACTGCTGTTTCTTCAGATAATTAAAGAGGGTTATGATTAAGCTGATCAAGATATAAGCACATCCTATATTTGCCTTTGATAAGCAAGTTTTTTTATGTTAACAACATCTCTTTGACTAAGGCAGGAATGGGAAAGTACAGTACATGGGAAATGGGGTGTTGCCCAAATTCACTTTATGAATTGTTGTTTGTCTCCATTTTGCCTAGCAGTTATTAATGCTAATTGTGAAGATGTTAATTTGAAAAGAAGATAGTTTGGTTCCAGAAATATTTTCTATTCTGTCCTGAGAATATTTAACAATGCTGATTGTTCTGCCTATGTGATACTTCCAGCAGCAAAATGAAGAAATACTGTTTATTGATTCCCACTGTAGCCCTGTAGAAATTTGGGGGAAACCTATGAAACTCAATACAAGGAGGAACTGGCAAAAAATTGAGTCCCATACAAGATACTGTCTCTGCCCCATGTATAAATGGGAGTTCTAGAATAATAGAAGGTCAAATAGATTTTTTTTTAGTTCCTTCAGAATGCGGAATAGAGTAACAATTAAACATTTTATTCCCCAGGGATCTGTTAAATTATAATTCTGTCTTAATTCAAGGCCTTTTAAGTGTATTTTATCTCTGCAGGATTACCTTTCCTATCAGAAAGCATTGATGTCATTTTGACAGACATTCCATTTGGAAAAAAGTTCAAAATAACAGAAGACATGAAGTTCCTTCCCAGAGTTTTTCAAGAACTTGAAAGGTACATGAGTCAAATTATCTGGAATTCAAGAATATTAGAATGAGATTTAGTATACGATATGTAAGCAAATATACATTGTAACTAGATAGAAACAATTTTATTTGATGATAATTACCTATCTTCTAATATAGTAATAATAGTGATAAAGGAAAGTATTTGTAGCTCAGAATCAAATGAGTCCTTGGTGCTCTCTGAGTTTGGTTGTTTACTTACTAGATGTTTCACTAATTCCTGATCAGTGATTGGAGCACTGGTGATGTTACCTAGTTTGTTTAATTATAATTAAACATCTGCAAGAAAACAACCAAATTCAGAGACCACTAAGGATCCGTCATAAATAATAGTTTCAAATAAGATGAAAAAATATGTTGCTGGTAATTGCTAACAAGCTCAGAAGGGCTGGGTCTGGTCAAACAGGACTCTGCTGATGCTGGCAGTGAATGAGAAGTCATAGGATACATACTGAGGAATATATAGTAAAGGAAATCTTCCTGACAAAGTTAATTTAATTCAGATGGAAGGAGGGGGAATGTTTTCAAAATGGGCTTGTTACTTTCCCCAGGAACTTTGACTGTAACCCTGAGTTCCCTGAGTATAAGACACTGTTGTGTGTTTGTGTGTATATGTGTATTTATTTATATTTATAAATATACCGGTATATATATATATATTTATTTATTCCTGAAGCTATTCTTATGTTTAGCACAGCTTCCAGATGTATAGTTCTTCCTCATTCTTACTGTAAAGCTTACAGTACTCTCCTGAAATCTCTTCTCTAACCTGTGCTCTGCAAGGGGCAAAGGCAAACAGTCAGGCAAAAGAGAGGTTTAACTAGAGAAATTCTTCCCCTCCCCCACAGAACAGAGAGATTGGAAAGGAGGAATGAGTACTGTAAACTCTCTGCAAAGTGTGCCTGCAGCTCCCAGGCATGGGCTGCCAATGCAATCTCTTCCTCTCCAATCTCTACTTTGAAAGGGGGAAGAAAATAGGTCAGGCACAGAATGATGTGTGCTGTCTAATAGTAATCACAATATTGAGGGATGCCGAGCATGTTGTAAATGGTTGTAAATTGGCCATAGAGGTGTTTTTTCTAGCACCTTGGGTAACCTGTTACTGAATATGTGGTCAGTAAGCAAAGACTAATGTAAATATCCCTTTAGGTTTTTGCATGCCCAGATCCAGCAACAATTCTTATATTGGGTTGCAGTTGGCAGTCAAGACCTTGCTCATTGTCATTTATTTCAGCTGGATAATAATGTATGCAGCAATTAAGTATAATAAAATATGGAATATATGAAAAAAAACTGGAATTTGTATGAAGCCCAATATTAAAATCCATTTACCAGAATGTTCAAATGAGAGGCTTTCTCTTGGTGTATCTTACCATATAGAAAGGTAAAGATAAAAATAGGGAGATTGTAAACTATTAGATACTCTGAAAGTTTCTTATAAATTAATGTTATTGAAACCAAGCAAGAATATATTAACTACTTTCTATTGTTTTTCAGGGTGCTTTGTTTTGGAGGGACTGTTGTACTGTTACTTAATCAAGAACTTTATAAAAGTATTTCTAATATTGCCCATGGCTCTCGGACTGAGAGATCCATCTTTGCAGAAACTTCTACTGATTGCAGACAAAGTGATTTGATATCAGTTGAACAAGATAAAGAAAGTATTAGTTGTGGTACTGTTTCCCCCTCATCTCAAGATACAAGAGAAGAAGATTTCAGTTACAAAAAGGGAGATCTTGGTTCTCTGGTGTTCATAGAATCCTTTGAAGTTAGTCTTGGCAAGACAAATGCATTCATATGCAAGTACAAGAAGATAACTTGAAGGATCTAGAAGGTAACAACGGACAAGTATGTATAAAACACATTGAAGGATTTGACAATGAGAACTGCATAGCAATTACTGCAAAAGATCCTAAAGCAGGGGTGTCAAACTCAAGTCCTGTGGGCCAGATCCAGCTCGCAGGGTACTTAGATCTGGCCTGCAGGACTGGCCTAAAAACAGCAAAGGGCTGACCTGTGGTGCCTCTGCCAGCAAAAACGGAGCTCAGGAGGGCCGCATGCAGCCTCCCAAGCTCAGTTTCTGCTGGCAGAGGGCTGCGGAAGGCTGTCACAGCCAAAAATGGAGCTCGGGAGCCTGTTTTCACTGTCAGAGCGCTTGGGCCACCCCAGGCGCTGACACAAGTGACGGTCAAACTGGTCCTGCCCATCCTGGCCACGCCCACCCTGGCTCCCCAAGGTCAAACACAATCCTGATGCAGCCCTCAATGAAATCAAGTTTGACATCCCTGTGCTAAAGGATTATATAGTAGGATCTGTAACTAAAAACATTGGGCTAAATTTAGATGTTTGAAATGAAAGAGACATGGTTGTTGGTCCTGATAGAAATAAACATTAATAGTGAGATAGCTTTAAGGGACATTATTTCTCAAGCAGTGCTCAAGATAACCAACATGATGCACTCTCTGAAGTGGTTGATAACAGTCTTGCATCAATTCTTGGCATTTACATATCACCATTTTGCAATATTGGACAAGGATTATGCTTGGCGTGTCATAGTGCATTGTACTATATTATATTCTGCCTTCATGGGAATCATTGTGCAGGATCTAACTGATCTTTGGGAATATATTCAGAAGAAACTTCTGAAATAGGTTTCCTGGATGCCAGTCCATCTGAGCATTATTCAGACCATTGGCAATTGCTTTTCGTAGTCTTGTGTTATGAATGTGGGAGATGAGGATTCCCAATTAATAGAAATCCTTTCCATATTCATTATTATTAGATTGCACTATAAACAGATTTGTGCCTGAAAATCAAAATGAATCCTACTTCAGAAATCAGTGCTTTCTAGCAAGAAAATCCAAACTGTTTTTAGTATTTTTCCTAGAATTGTATGACAAGTCTCTGAAAATACAAAACTTCAAAAAAAAAACCCACCTGAACCTAAGAAGACTAATTTTGCATTTTTGCACTCACAACATTTTGGAGGACAGGTCTCTTTTTACACAAATTCATTATTTAACTAGCAATAAAAGGTACCTTTATTTGTATTCAAAAGGAAGATAGAAGCAAAAAGAAAATATGCAAATATTCCTAATAAAATCAAGACATTTGGTCTAATTCAAAATATTATATTATCTATTTGGTGAATTAAAAATTATATAAGTGCCTGTAGCTGTTTTAGCAGTTCTGATTCAGATGCAATAGTTGTGTTATGCTTCCAATACTAAATATTAACTTATCAGTGGAAAGTATAACCATTTGGACAATGTAAATTGATTCCAAATCAGGGAACTTTTTGAGTCTAAATATATTTACATTTCCCAATTCAACGTGTATGTAAGAATGGTAATGTAGAAAATGATTATATTATCCCTCCTGGATTTCTTCAAGGGCTGGATCAGCACTGTAGTTCTCCACGGACTGGCCGGGGGTGGATGCATTTTCACAGCTGGTTTTTGGCCTGGACACGCTCCTGCAGCACTTTGTTGGCCAAAACAGGCCATGTGAGAGACAGTGCGTGCTTCCCTGTGCCCCATTTTGACCGGCAAAGTACTTCAGGAGGCCATCCAGGCCAAAAACCAGCCGCAAAAATGCCCCTCCCCCAGCCAACCCACAGAGAACTACAATGCTGATCCAGCCCTCGAAGAAATCCAGTTTGACACCCCTAATCTATACATTCTAAGAACCTAAAGGGAGTACTCCAATTGTTTCTGTAATGGGCATGACCTACCGTAGTCAAGAGTGGCTACATTAGGTATATTTGGAGCAAGCATATTCTGTTACGTCAGTTAGAAAGCAAAGTTTTCTGTTGGTAGCATATGTCCATTTTGAGGGTGGCCAATGCCATTGACAGCTACAAAAAAATAAACAGCTGACATGCCTATAAGTTTGTCTCTTAGCTTTACAGTACGGAAATAGCTGAGAATGAATCTGGTATGTAAAGGTACTTTTTTTCCCTTTTGCATTGGCACCATGGAATTGCTGCAAAGGTAGGCAAGAGTTAATGTAGGGCCTACTTCACATAGATAGTTTTGTCCTTAAGAAGTTCTGGAATGCATTTAGAAAATTGAAACGGGTGTAATCAAATAAAGAATAACCTTTGTAATTTGAGGCTGTATTATTTATAAGAAGAGCCATATCCAACTCACTTGTTCAGGAATTTTATTAACAGAAGATAATATGCCATTATTTTTAGACAAAAAAAATTGAAACACATAGTATACATTATTTCCAATAATGCAAATGCTGTAATTAATTTTATACATTTAATCTTTTTTATATATGGCATTGGATGGATTGTATATGACACATGAAAATGTTTCAGGGAAATACAAGCATAAATTTTCCTACATAAAGTGGCCTACCCCCTTCTGGAAGTCATTCTATTCTAGCATCTGTTTCTGTTTCTTCTAAAAACAAATGATTCATTCATTTATTACACAAGAAATCTTTGAAATTTCTCCCATACATCATTTAGTAACTATTAAAAATAATTAATAGAGGAGACTAAGTATCACATAACAAGACAAAAATAATATAAAATATAATTAAAATAAGGAAACATTCTTACCAACTGGGTAATATGGCAGTGCTTTTGTTGTTTTAATCTTACATACATTTTTCTTTAAAAAAACCTTTTATTTATTTTCAAGTTATATGGCCACTCGGGTGAACCTCATGACATTGGACAGCAAATAGCAATTGAAGTTTTCTTGTTCAAGTAGAAATAGTTCCATTTCATTTGTGACATGTGCTAAATTACCATCAGTTCTACAATAGTTTTGCTGTCTGAACTTGATATATCAGCCATCATGGAAGCATAGATGTCTGTTGTTTGCTGCTAAGTCAATGTTTCCTGGCTACTAAGTCAATGTTCAGTAAAGGATTTGGGTTTTGTTTGTGCTTGGATTCTGAATTAAGCTTCCGCATGTATCTTCCTGTTGCCTTATAAACAAAAAAAATATCCCATAAGTCATACGGAAGAGTTTGTGGTAGATTTTAGATGGCTAATCTTTGTCCTGCTAATAAATGGGTAAGTGGTACAAAGGCATCCTGCTGCTACTATAAGTCCTAAACTGCACCATGCACAGAATATAGACCAGCTGTATCCATGTTCAACATTAGCAGGAAGACCATAGATGGTTTTGGGAAGGCGGTTTAGGTCAAAAGATATACTTGTTGCATAAGTACAGAGAGAAATAGTGCAAAAGATGCCTACAAAGGAAACATATAACAGAGTTATAAGATGTATAGAAATTGGAATTTCCAAATCATCTAGATACACGTAAGCTTTTAATTGTGTGATAACAATTTGCATTTACAGGAATGGCGTGAATAACAATGTCATACAATGTATCTGTCATCAGAATTGTATCAGGAAAAATGACAATTTAAATTACATTATTATAAAGCAAATATGTCCTATTGTAATAATAATTTTGAAACAAGATAGGTGGCAAACAAATGTGATAATAAAAAAAATACTACTTTAAAATAGTTGTGATCCAAATTTTTATTTCTGAGTTTTATAAAGGATATTCAAGTCAAACGAGTAGAATTGAACTTTTCAATGACTCCAAAAAGAAGTTTCAGTCCCAGGATTCCAAGAACTGGGATTCAATCCCAAGATCTTCCCTAGTCTGTAAAAGGAACTGGTGCTTCTTAAATGCCCAATTTTTAATCAATATTTTCATATATTAAATTATTTCAATATATTTTAAATTAAGATCCTTTTGTTGCCATCATCTTGGATAGATATTTGGGTTGGAATCCCTTAAAGTTTGTTTAATTTAATTTAATTTATTAAATTATTTATTTTGATATTTCTGTATTCTACCTCCCCTAATTTAATACTTCTGTGATTCATAGGTTTGAGAGCCAAATCAGATGAATCATGTTTTTTCAAAACGGATACTTTGGATGCCAGCAAGCCCTAGCACTAGCAGGCTCTGTACCCTTAGGGGCTACTGCCGAGAATCTGGACTGGAACTAGAGGCAGTGGTTACCAGCCCCTCAGAACGCAAAAGACAACTGGTGAAAGGTCATAAACTAGCACAGCAAAGAAATCAATAGCTGCTAGGGGAGGTTTGTGAAAAGAGATGATCTGATATTACATTGCTTCATGCATTATATACAGTACTATGTAAAGTGTGACTATCTGGCTCTTGCAATATTAAGGAAAGACTACAGCCTGATTTACACTTTTGTAACTTGGCATAGTAGCAGATGGACTGATTTACAGGTGCTTACCTTAATTCACTGCCAGAGTCTTGTGAAAATAGGGAAGAAAACGTATGTTATGATATGTACATATAAGGTATTTTGATTCAGAAAGATCTGTAGAAATTGCTTCCCTGAAGATTTGCTGTGTGTTCTCGGCAGGCAAGGAAGGATCTGTGGGCTATTCCAATTCTGCATATCCTAATGTAATTTATATCTATAGATAATTCATGTCTCATTTCTAACTTGCTGAGGTATAGTTTAAATTCAAGCTTTTTTGATAATACAGTATTTTAAGCAGCATTGGACTTCAATAGTAGCCTGTTCAGCTTAGGTTTTGCTTAGTGTAGAATGTAGAAATTTTTTATTCCTGGAAGTTATTTTCTGGTACTACTGGTCTCCTGAAATTAATATCAGATCTGAACCATTACACAGCCTTATGTGAGCTGGTAGTCTCAAATCAGCCTTTAGGATTTTTAACTACAGTGCAAAAATTGAACATAAATAACTTAAGAGTATCCTTCTCCCAACTCTTGCAGAATTGACTGTAAGAGAAGGAATCAACCTCACAAAGGAGACAATAGCAAAGTAAATAGAATAAATATATCATCGTAATGGCTTTTCATAGGACTATCGATAAATATCCATGGATTATCCATAAATATTCCTCTTGCACTTTCGCTTTCAAGCGGGTAGTCGAATTATTTTGGCATCTGAAGTAAAAAGTCCCCCAAATTACTCTTCCCAGTTCCAGCAGTAAAAATAGAATAACTATATTTAAAAACTAACAGACAAAAAAGAAAGTGTACCTGACATGAGGAAAAGAAGACCAGCAACATGCTGTGTGAGGCTTTTCTCCCAAAAGAAACCAGCTGCAATTACAATGCACCCGCAGAGAAGAACAGCTGCTGCCATCCCAAGAAAACCTGCTGTAATTCTTCTTAGATCTATTCTCATAAGTGAAGGAAGTGATAAATTATCCACACACATTAAAATAACATTAAACCTATTATGTATGCACATTCCTACAAATAAGCTACAGGTAGTACTCAATGACAATAGGGACCAGAACTTTTCCATAGAGCTGTCTCGAGTGTCCAGGTTGGGAGGAGCTCCAGTCTCGGCTCTTCCAGGCTGAGCTTGAAAATTGAGGAACACCCCCTCACCGTCACGTGGTCCTCGGGCACTCCCCAGTTTTTTGCTCAGCCTCGTGGCTAACAGGCTGTTTTTCCCTTGCTCCGGTCGTTCAGCATTCTAGGCCTCTTCTCTCATTGCTTTTCACGTGGATCACCGGCAGGCAGCGCAGGAACTCAGGTTTGAACTCCCCAGGGAGTGTTTTTAATATCCGAGCCGTTTCTTTAAGGGGAGAAAACGAGCGCTTCGAGCACTCCCCCCCCCTCCACTTCGTTTGCCGCCTAATCGCTCCGCGCGAGGCCGCTTCGTTTCTGCCTGCCTCTCCTCGCCTTAGCCGCCGTTCCCCCCCCGCGAACGCCTTCTAGCCCAGGGTACGCTTCCCTGGTTCTCCCAAAGGCCCTAATCTTCCCTGGGAGTTTACTGCTGCTGGGGCTGCCTCCGTTACTTGCGGCCTCCATCTCGGGCCCCCTGTGGCATCCGCCATCTTGGGTGGGCCCTGGAACGGCCGCCATCTTGGGTGTGCCCCGGAACGGCCGCCATCTTGGGTGTGCCCTGGAACGGCCGCCATCTTGGGTGTGTCCCGGAACGGCCGCCATCTTGGGTGTGTCCCGGAACGGCCGCCATCTTGGGTGTGCCCTGGAACGGCCGCCATCTTGGGTGTGCCCTGGAACGGCCGCCATCTTGGGAGTGGCCGCATGGCCGTCCGCCATTACTAGAGGCCCTTTTACAGGCCGCAGCCTTAACTGACTATTAGGCAGCCTGGGATTCCCTCGTCTCAGCCTGTCTTTTATTCTACCAACAGGCCTCCTGCAGAAATAGGGTCTGTTGGCCCTGCAGCCTTTTTTTCCCCAGCAGGCGAAGTAGCAGCTCTGCCCCCCCCCCCACCCCTTCCCCGGTCCGTCCGGCAGGGGTAGCTGCCTGGCGTTCACCTTTCTGGCTGATTGGTCTCTGGGCTAGGCCCTGGTTCGTACCAAAACAGAAAAAAAATTTTTGACTAAAAGGGGGGCGTGGAACGTGCGTTGGGATTCCCGGCCTCCCGTAGGCCGCATCCAGACCTGGTTTCAGCTTACATTATTCCCTTCTGCCTGCGGCCCCAGGGTCATTGGTTTTTTTTTCAGAGGCCTACCAGTAGGCCGCATTGCCTCCCTGACTCCTGGGCAGATCCTGGGACTGCTCAAATACCTTGCAATCCTGCCTAAGTCCCCCCCCAACTAAGGAGTTAGTTGCTTGCCATGTCCCTTCCCCGGTTCGCCCGGCAGGGACAGCTTGGCGTTCTTCTGGCTGATTGGCCCCCGGGCTAGGCCCTACTTCCCAACACGTTACAGAACAATTCTGTGGCCTTGACAAAAAAGGGGGTGCAACACGAGCATTGGGAGTTCCAGCCTCTGCTTAGGCTGTACCCAGACCCGTTAACCACCTCCCATTAACCAAAAAAATTTTTTTTTTTTCCTTTTTTCTCTCCTCTCCAGATGGCAGACGACAATACCTCTCGTGGCACTTCTCTGAAGGCCAAGGCCAAATCCCACCACCTGCGCAAACAGGCACAGGAACCATCCAAAGCTTCCCAAAGGGATGCCCTCAGGCGACACAGGGCCCTCGAAAGGGAAATTGACAGACGCTCTCAGGAGTCAAGCTCTGTGCCCCGGGACCCTTCCGTTCCATCAACCTCCACCCATCCTCCTCTCCCCTCCCCTCCTGCTTCTGCTTCTCCCCCACAGCCTGGACAGGCCCCTGAGATCACCTTGCCCATCACTGCTGTAGAACTGCGCCCGGAGGAGTCTCTCCCCATGGCGGAAATACCCGAAAACCTAATGCAGGCTATGGAGCTGGCCATCCGGCAAAGGGTAGCGCAACAGATGCAGCAGCTGGCCGGTCTGGCTCCTCGGCCCGCGGCCCCCGAGGCCCTAGGATCAGCGGCCTCGCATGGTCAGGCAACTCCTCAAGAGGACCTAACCTTACCTTTGGAGTTGGAGGGAATGGAGGCCCAAGAACCCGGGGACCCTTCCCTCTTTGGGGACGAGCAGGACCTTGACATGAGGTCCCTCATAGGCAGTGAACTCTTTTCGGGAACAGGTCCCCTAGAAGGGGACATGTCGGAGGACGAGGGCCTCCCTCCAGGTCAGCCCGCGTTTCTAGGGCTCTTTAAACCGCACCTATTTAGGTCCCTCCTGTTCAAAGCCAGGACCACCTCGGGTCTGAACCCCCCTCCCCCACCCAACCCAGCGGCGGCAGGGGTTCCTCCCGACTCTCTCTTCTCTCAGCCCGTGGCGGAAACTGAGGTGATCCCTGTCCCGCCCATATTCTCAGACATGGTTTCTAGGCAGCTGGCCTCCTCGGGGCCCCCTCCCCCCCCCAACGCCCAGGACAAGCGGTTTTTTAACCTGGAACCGCAGTTCTCCACCTTGCTCGATCCCCTCCCCGTGGACGAGCCCGTGGTGGGCCTGGTTTCCCGCTCTACTCCCAGCGACTCACTCGATGCTCTCCAGCCCGAGGACAAGCGAGCTGAACTGGCCCTGTGCCGCGCTCACCTCTCTGACGCTTGGGCAGTCAGGGCTTCCACTGCCGCGTCGTTTTTCACCAGGTCTTCCATCAAGTGGCTCCAGCAGCTCAAGCAGCATGTCCCCACAGCCAATCTCAGGGCGCACCAGGACATTGCCAAGATCCTGGCCGCAGCCGAGTTTTCGGCAGACGCCACCTTCCAGGCGGCAAAGTTCTCCACCAGGGCCATTTCGTCCCAGGTTACCGCCCGCCGTCTACTCTGGCTCCGCCACTGGCAAGCGGACGTTAAAAACAAGACTAAGCTAGCAACAGCCCCCATCTCTGGGGGGAAGTTATTTGGACCGGTTCTCGACCCATTCCTGGCCGAGACCCGGAACAAGCGCAAGTACCTCCCTTCCCTCTCTAGGAGGTCCGACTTCAGAGGCTCCCCCCCCTCTCCTCGCCAGGGTTCTTATCACTCCTCCTCCTTTGCCAGATACTACCGATCCTCTCCCTATAGATCTCCCTACCGAGCGGAGCCGGATGGGTCCGGAGGTAATTCTTCCAGGAAGCCCTCCCGGGGATCCGGGAGAGGTTCGTTCCGTCGTTCTCGATAATGCAATCGCCCTCAGGCGCTTGTCCCTTAAAAAAAAAAAAAAAAAAAAAGAGGAAGGAGTGCGAGAAGGCCTTCTCTACTCCGACCTTTAACCCCTGCTTGCAACAGGCTCCTACCCCAGGAGCACTCTTGTCCTCCTCACCCTGCCCTGGGCAACTGGTCGGCAACACATCTACCCCCATTCAATGCTAGCTGGGGTCCCTTCTTGCGCTCCCGGGCCTCACACAGATCTCTGCGCCTCCCCTCCTTCTCTCTGTCCCAGAGTTCTCCCAGGGGAATTCCCATCACGGGTCGATCTTCCCAGTTTCTTGAATCCAGGTCCCAGTGCACACCTGTTTGCCTATTTGGCGGGACTGCCTCCCGGATAGCTCCGCCTCCTCTTTAGGCCCCTTGTTGAGACATTCCAATATCCAGGGGTTTTTCTCCTGTTGGGCATGCCTTCCAGCGGGTCATCGGGGTTCCAGGAGAGATTCTATACCAGACGGGGCCCCACCCGCAGGACTAGCCAAGCTTTGGTATGTCCCAACCTGGACACTCGAGACAGCTCTATGGAAAAGGGGCGTTGGTTCTTACCTGATACGCTTCTTTTCGTAGAGCTGTTGAGAGTGTCCAGCCCCACCCGTAGGCCGTCTGGTGGGAAACCTGGCTGTTCGACCGAGCAATCTAATATATTTTTTTCCTGAGCGTGATGAGAACAGGACTTTCCTTCTCGTCTGTGCAAAAACCTGGGGAGTGCCCGAGGACCACGTGACGGTGAGGAGGCGTTCCTCAATTTTCAAGCTCAGCCTGGAAGAGCCGAGACTGGAGCTCCTCCCAACCTGGACACTCTCAACAGCTCTACGAAAAGAAGCGTATCAGGTAAGAACCAACGCCCCATCCATTGCTACATGATACGGTCATTTAAGTGAGCTGTGCCCAACTGCAACCTTTTTTTTGTTATGGTCATTAAGCAAATCACAGTCATTAAGCAAATAATGTTATTGTTTCCTCCACTGACTTTGCTTGCTGAAAGACCCTGGGTCACAAATGATCATAAGACCTCAGGATGCTGCAATAGTCATAAATACAGTATGAGGACTAGTCACAAGTCACTTTCTTCAGCACCATCTAACAGTTGTTAAATGAACGGTAGTTAAATTGAGGACTCCCGGCATGTTAAATGTAATATGACTTTTTTAAATGATAAAAATTTTCAAGTCATGGAGCTATTATTGCTTGTCAATTTTAATAAGAGAAAAGTGATGGACACATCTGATTTGTTTTTCTTTTTGTAATGTTTTAAAAACCCTTATTCTAAAAAAATCAACACTGGCCATTTCTATGACCACTTCTACCTCATTTTTGCACCTCAGTTACTAAAAAAAAAGTACTATTAAATAGGTAGCCTTTTGCCATCAAAAAGTTATTCCACCCTATTCTAAAAGGAAATTTTGCTACATCTATATTTGTTTAACAAACTGAATGGTGGATTGTATATAAAATATGACATTTCCAAAACTGGTGTGCAATACTTTTTGTTTGAATGCAGTAACTTTAGAATAGGTAACATTGTATACTAATATTTATTTTCACATTTGTAACCTGCCCTGTATCAATGGAGCACATATTAGGAAGATCACACGTTCAACCTAAATGCACAAGTACTTACGTAACAAGTGCCATTCATCCTGCTGGATAATCTTAGTTAAATTGATAGGGATGTTCCATAAGCGTCGTATTGGTGTGGCAAAATGATACTTGATTGCTGTGCATCTCTGAGCAATACCTTTAGAAAACACAGAAATATTTAATGAATAATTCTGAACAGGATCTGAATGATGACTTTTTAACATAGAGAAATCCAGTAAATGAGATGCTTCCAAATTAGACTTTTATTGTGAAATTGAAATATTTATAAAGTAATTTCCTTGTTCAAAGAACTTATATGAAGAGGTAGGGACTACCATAATCATTTTAATTATAGTACTTCTGCATTTTCCCACCAATGAATGTGATGCCTACCTTGGATTTTATCTTTGCTTTTTTTGTTATTTTTTGTTTTGATATTGTTTGGAATTTAGATATTTATTATTATATTTTTCACATTAGAACTTGTACACTGCCCAAATTTTACTGGGGCAAGTTAACATTTTGTATGTAAGCAAATAAAATCAATAAGCCAGCATTGAGCCCAAAAGACAAATCATAATTTATTATTCTATTGATAAAACTTATGCAACTAGTTTAATGGAACACATTATACAGTACTAAGCCAGTGTTGGGGTTGGAAAGGGGTAGCTGCTAAATACTAGCCTGTAATTTCCATGCTGTAGTAGGTTCCCCATTCATAAACAGGCCTATTCTAGGAAAGCCACCTCCATTTTATTTATTTTTTTACTTTTCCTCCAACCCACTATAGAGGGGGAGATGTAAAAAAGAGCAGAAATGACTGGCCTGGAGCGTTGATAGCAATCTCACAGGTTTGGTTTTTACTTTTTCCTCAAATAGATTAAATCCAGTGTATTGTTCACGCATAGTCTATTATTACTTTGAAGAAAAATCCCTACTGGCAAGGAGGTGATAAAGCATCAAGCAGTCAATTGTATGTTTCAATCTGTCATGCCCCTGGTGGAGACTGATTCTGAGGGAGAGGAGGAACAGCCAACAGGGAGTGGAAGTGTGGCTCCAGAGCTGGTGGTGGAGGCTGGGGAAAGGGCAGAGGCCAGCTGAGCAGTCAGAGGAGGACCCAGGCCCATCCCCTATCCATCCTAGGGCATGCAGGGAGGAGAGGATCAGGGAAAAACGTGGTCTACTTGGGTGGAGAGGGCCATGATCCTCTTCGTGGGTTGCAGGTGTGAGATCTGCATAAGAGTTTGGACCTGTGTGCTAACAAACACTGGAGACAAATTAGTATTTTATTCCTGGATGAGATTTATCTTGGTTGGTGTTCTTCCAACGGATTGTACCTGGTTATCTTCCTGAAGTTTGTAAGTCTGGTCTGTTGTGGAATTTTCTTCAATGTGGTTTGGTTTTGGTTTTTGCTTCGTCATCTGCTCTTTGAATTTGAACTGTATTTCTTTCGTTTGGAATGTTAATCTTCAAATGTGAACAATTAAACAGTGAAGCCAAGTTGAAGGCATTAAAGGACCTTTATTTACGTTTTGGTTTTTGTTATATTTTTGATACACTCCGAGTCATCACACAATCTAGAAAGCAATAACAATAGACTTAAGACTTATATACTGCTTCACGGTGCTTTACAACCCTCTCTAAGTGATCTACAGAGTCACCATACTGCCCTCAACAATCTGCGTCCTGATTTTACTGATCTTGGAAGGATGGAAGGCTGAGTCAACCTTCAACTGGTGAGACTGCCAGTTAGCAGCCTGCAGTCAGCAGAAGTAGCCTCCAGTACTGCATTCTAACCACTGCGCTACCATGGCTCTTGGCAGCTGTAATTCTCCACTTTGTAGCATCACTATTATAACTCCCATATAATAGGTTTTTTTTTTCCTTATCTGCTTGTGGCCTATTTTCAGAAATAATCTGATTTATACAAGATGTTTGAATGTTACCCTTTTCTGTCAAGACACATTACTACAGTATGGAAAACTATCTGAAATTTTATAAAAGGTGCACAAAATAATCACAATTGGGATGAATTTGAAAAGTCCCAACTTCTGTGGCAGTAGGGTGGAATATTTCCTTTTGTTCTTTGGTTTGGCTGACTATAAATATTAAGAGGTCTCCCTAGAGAAACAAGCAGTGAAATATTATACAATAATTTTGCCAATTATGATCATGAAAGCACTTACTCATTCTTACAGTTTGGCTGCTAACAAGACAGCATATCCCCAACTGAATGACAAACTTCACAGTTGCTGATTGTGCAGTACAATTAAAACAATTTATAGCCCTATTTTCAAGATAACCTAGAACAAATATATGCAATTAAAATTTAGTTCTGATGCACTAACTGTGTCTGAAATTCCTAATCTAATTAGAAACCATTAGAAAATGATTTTGAAATTCTTTTGTAAGAAACTTCTATAAGTTTTGTACTTTTGTCTTTACAATTTAAGAACCGTATTGTGATGAATATGGGAAATGTTCTTTTTTAACAAATCAATAGGTTAGAGTAGAAAAAAAAGTCCCTTCTTCCATATTGGTCTTCTAGCATAAAGAAGATAGAGCCCATTCCTTGAAGCATCCAGTTTATCTGAAAAATAATCTTTGGTCAACTTAGTCTCATTTTAAATATAATATTAATATAACATTTAAGTTGACTAAAGATTATTTTTCAAATAAACTGGATGCTTCAGAGGACATTTAGCAAGGAATCTTCTTTATGCTAGAAATCCAATATGGAAGAAGGGACCTTTATTTGTATGTTCTGGTCAGCTGTACATTGACACCAGTTTAGTCTAATATTCAACAGGTTGTAAATGGTAAAGAAATTTCATGATTCAAAGATATAAATGTAATGCTAAATTATATTCTGAAATTTTGGAATTTATCAAGCTACAAAAACTCTGATTAATTATGCATGGGTAATATAAAAATTATATTACGTTAATGGAAAAATGGTATAATGTATATTGCTTTAAATATACATTCATACAACCTACAATTGAATAAGTTCTTCCAACATTGAAAAATCTGATCCCATAAAATTCTTTGTAATCACATTGCTTAAGGTTTGAATTCCATAGTATATTGTTGTGTTAATATATAATGTAAAGAACTTTTTTATTTTTTGTTCTTTGGAAATATTTCCTATATTTTATGGGCTACTTTCATTAAATGTGAATGCTAAAACTTTAACTATGCTTGTGATACAAGAACATGTGCTGTACAAAAATGCATCTGAAAATGGCAAGGCCTATCTAAAAGGGGGAATAGTGGAAATGATTTTCTGTAAAACAATATTCATTCTCCAAAGGCCACAGAGGAGTATAACAGTTATGTGGCAACACTGTTTAGTTTTTAAAAAGTTGTTCAGTAGTTATGGCACTATCCTGTAAAAAGAAGACTATTCAAAAGAAGATCAATTAGACTGATGGGCACCGTGAACTACGTGACTGTCCGCTTAGGTATTCAACCCTGGTGAATGACAGAACCACCCAACTTGAATATCATAATGTGGAGAGGCTTCTGCTTACAAGGAAGAGTATATGGGCAGTAAACATATATACCTGACAGCACCAGAACATGTCTAGGTAATTTGAAGCCAAATTAGGAATGAAAAACATCAGTTTAGTAAGACATGTTTCAGAGTAGCTAATTACTAGAAACAATATATATTACTACAGCAGTGAGCCTGTAATCTGTTAGCCTGTTGCTTTTAATCCTGCCTTCATTTGTTCTTTTGTCTTTATCTTCTAGAAGCTCAATTATGTCTTCAACTGGTTTGGTTTCTGATTTCTTAACCAACTTCCTCTGGCCATAAGTGAGTCTTTTTTAACAACTGGAAATATAACAATGTTTTTTTTTCCAATTCAGTTTTTAATCTTGACTTTAGATTTGAAATACATATTTGAAGCTCAGTTTTCTTACTTTGTCATTTCAATTTAAAAGCCTCCATGTAATATTTTTTATACATTTATTTCTACCTGTCTTTTGGGCTAAACCTTCATAAGGCAGTTTTCATTAAAAAGATTAAAAGCAAAACAACAAATAGTGTTGTTAAAAGTCGTACACAATTAAGTAACTGTATGTTACTTGCATAATGTAAGTACAGGCTGTGCAAACATGTAAATCATATATATCTATATTTAGTATGGAAACCTGATACTACCTAGCAATTTCTTCATTCTGGAATTTGTTCTTATGATAGCAATAGCAATAAGACTTATACACCACTTCACAGTGTTTTACAGCCCTCTCTAAGTGGTTTACATAGTCAGCATATTGCCCCCAACAATCTGGGTCCTCATTTTACCGACCTCAGAAGGATGGAAGGCTGAGTCAACCTTAAGCCTGGTAAGATTTGAACTGCCAAATTGCAGGCAACCAACAGAAGTAGCCTGCAGTACTGCATTGTAACCACTGCGCCAATATGATCTTCACTAAAACAGTGTCTGAGGAAATATCTGTTCAAGTACTGTAGAGTTTCAACTCAAGATATTTGCTATCAGAAGAAAAAATATTGCTAATCAGCTAAACAATTTGGTAAAAAATAATAATTTTTAATATTTCTGAAAAAGAACATCAGTTTCCAGAGCAATACCTACTACATTTTTATTTAACCAAGAAATTAAAGGTGGACACCTTAAAAAGCATTTCAGTGTTGTGAGAGATCAGGTTGCTTAATTATGGCGGAGAATGCTACGGTTCAAATTTTCAATTATCTATTTGACAGAATTTAAAAGCTAAACTCAAGTAAGGAAGAAAGCCATATTTCCAGGAAGGATGATAAAATATGAAATAATGCTGATTTGGGAATAAAGAATGTCCATTAACTTGGGCAATATGAAGAGAAATCAATGAGGTTGTACTTCATCCTTTCCTTGCCCTATTCAACAGTACCTCAAATTACCTTTTTTCTGAAACTGCTTTTCTCTCCAAAGTATAGGAGAAAATAATATTGCACGTAATAGCTCGTCCCTTAAAGATAGTGCAACAAATACTGTTAGCCCAGTATTCAACATTTGCAGTGACTAAAAAGATTCTCTGAGAAAGCCCATAAGGACAGTATTATTCTCTTGTTATATTCACTAAGCGCTGCTTGAAGATAGATTAGTGGAAGTAATACAGAGCCACTGATAAGCCTGTCCTCCATGGTAATTCCCTTTAAAACTATTCAAGCCAATGGCCATCACTCCATCTTCAATATAAATTCTACAGCTACATTATTGGCTCCATAGTTTTTTTATTCATTTATTATAAAAGCTACCCTAGGCCACTTCAATCGTATACTCTAATGGCAGGAAATACATATTATGCATATTAAAGATATCAGTAATAAAGCGGCCAACAGATTCAAAATAACAAAAGAATAGCACACATCAATCAGCTCAAGTACATCTCTCTTCTTCACCTCAGTCTCCAACTATACATTTAAAAAGCCACATTTTAACAGTTTTTTGAATAAAAAGAGTAAGGGTACAAGTCTTACATTTAATGAGAGAATAGTCCATAGGAAGGGACATCTCACAAACAAATGTTTACTTCCCAGTCCCCTTTTGTTACACTTTACATGGATCGGGACTTTCATCAGGCCTCCACAGGATTGTCCTGGGCAGGGAGATTCTATCTGGAGCAGGTGACCTCAAAGACAAACTTTAAGTCATGTAGGACCTTTAAAGGTGATCATAAGCACTTGAGGGTGCCACCATTCAGCATTAACAGATAAACGCAGGATCTAGTATGTAGTATGGCAAAGGAAGACAAGCACATCTTCATCTTCTTTTCTACTTTATAATTTTCTATCTCACAAGGTTCCTAAACAATTTGTCAGAATGACATAATAGAGATGCTCCAGTGCCTTCTGGATTTTTTTTTTTTCAGATATACAATATCTTCTTGAAATTAATGGTCAGAATCACGTACAGTTTTTCAAGAGTTTTAAATAAAATTTCTTTATTTGTTCCCTTCCCGATAATCCATTCAGGATTATGGATTATTGGGAATATGCCTTTTAGTTCAACAAGAGTTGCATTCTGAGTGAACACTTTAACTGAGCTATCTGCTATAAACTAAACATCTTTTCCATATTAAGTAATTGAAAGTTTAGAGTGTAAAATAATTTAAATTGCTTTTGCCATTTTGAAAGTCCATTTATTCTATCTGTAGACATTGTTATAGAGCTAGTATGAAGAGTTGAGAGGATGTCTCATATAAAATGTTTATATATAAAATATAGAGGACATGAGTGTTTTCCTCCTGGAAATATAAACAGAAAAGCAAAAAATCAAAATGCTAGTTTCTGGGGTGAAGAAGACATGTGTTCTATTATTTCAGAAATATGATTAGTAGTTTCTATCAGCTGAAGGAAAAAATGTCATCTCTGCAAGACAGACCATTATGTATCAAAAAGAGAAGGTCATCTGCCTTTGCTTTATTAGGTGCAGTGGCTCCACAGCATTTTCAGAATGAAAGGAATTCTTGAAGCACAGCCTAAAAGTTGTGCAATGAAATAAAAGAAATTGTAACCAGTGGATGGTCCTTGCATAATTGAAGAGAAAATATTCACTATTATAACAGATGTTTTATGTATTACTCTGGGGAGTTTTGAAAGAGATTGGTAGTTACCCAAACCAGATGCTGCGGCATGCTGAATAATTGCTTAGTGAACTTAAGATTACTACATACTATACAGATAATGAAGACACATAATGCATGGGAAAGAAAGAGGTATAGAATGAAGCAGGCTAATACATGGGGTTCAGTCATTGAGAGGTTGATGAAGACTGGATTCATTGTGTACTTTGTGTGATTATTATACATTAACAGATGAATATAACAATGCTTAGCAAATTAGTATGCAGTCTCCTGCTCCTTGGTCACTAATAAAATGCACTCTATTGGTGATATGCAGCATAAATGTCACATTAGAGAATGCACTTCTGTATCCATATAGTCAAGATGTTTTTTTTCTTCCATCTAGTATTACATTTGCAGAAAACTGAGGAAAATAAGAGAAGGGTGGAAAGCCACAACTAGTATTCAACAAAGTTATGAGCAGCATTGCAGGGCAGAAGAGGACTATTGAGGACAATGACTAGCACAGTGATGACAACCAACAACCATAACAATGTAAAGGAAAGAACAAAGAGACTGCCATGATTAATGATTTTGTGTGATGATGGCACTAGATATGCTGGCAAGAGGCGTGTTTGTTGTATTCTCAGGAGTTGTGACCTGGAGATGACAAGTGCATTATAGTAACAGCTGTGAGATTCATTCTAGACTGGGAGGTTTCAGGATGGAATCCACATAATTATATTGTGGAGTGACAGACTTTTGGGGAAGAAAAGGTGCACATACAAAAAAGACATATAAAAAGACATGTGCATATGTCATGTGGCACCATGTATCTATATAGTGAAGAAATTATGGTGGGGCCTGTTCTATTTCACATTTGTCACGGGCTGGGAAGAAGATGATGCACTTTGAGGTGGCAACGGTGGGAAAGGAGAATGCAAGCTGCAACCCCGCCCGAGGTCGCCCCCTCACCTCTGTCCAGTAGGTTATCCAGGTCTTGGTCGACCCCCAAGAAGTAGCATTTCCTCCAGAGACCAGCGTAAGTGGCGAAGAGTGGCCGGCCGCACCGAGATTGCAGCCACCGGAGCCCCAGGAGCGTTCGCCAGTTCTCTAGCTGCAGCAGCAGGTTCCCGGTGGGGGGAACTGCCACCGCACTGCCTTCGCGGGGGACCCGTGCCTTGGCATCCCGCAGGGGCAGGTGCGGCAGCGGCAGCAATCGGCGGCGTAGGTCGGGCGAGTGGGCGCTGCCGACGCGGTCCTCGCAGCTCTCCCGGTGGCGCCGGGGGTCAGTCTCATACCAATGGTCGGTGAAAATGGCCGTGACGAGCAACGCCAACGAGCAGAGGCTGAGGCACAAACTGAGCACCCGCGCTCGCACGCCGCCCATGGTTTGTCCCCGGGCGCCCCTCGTCTGGCACGCAGTGTCTTTCAACGGATGCCCGTACTGCTTTCAGAGCTTCCGCGCATGGTGCCGCGAGGGACAGCAAAGGCGTCCAGAAGGAGCCTCCGGTTTCTGCTCGCTCGCATAATCAAGCCATCGACTGGGGAAAAGGCGGCATCTGTCCCGCGTTCATTGTTCACTCTCCACGGGCGGGTCGCGCTACACAAAAGACAGCCAAGGAGTCTTGCAATACCTCTGAAGAGACGCCAGGGGGAGCAAGATGGCCGCCCTAGCTTCAATTGATCGGCAGCTACGCCCGGGAACAAGAAAGCGCGCGAAGCCAACTCAGCACACTGGGAGTGGGCTGAGCAAGTCTGCGCGGCCGAGGATCCTTTGTCTTAATGAAGAAATATTAGGAGTGTTCTCGTTTATTCTAGTTAGTCCAATTGACTGCAGGCGGGAATTTCATGAGGATAAGCATAATAGAATATGCTTATCCTCATGAAATTAGGAATGGAAAATCTAAGAGGTCTGTAGGGGGTGTGCATAAGCGCACCAACGTGCCTACCGTCCCAATTTCTTTTATTTTTCTAATATATATCCATGTATTCATAACTATGTTTTTACTTATACTTATTATCTTGTAAGCAATTGACAAACCAAATAAAATAAAATAACAATAAGAGTCCCTGCAGAAGAAATAGAGCTTATTACAGTATGTGAAAATGCCAAATGATCTCATTGTTTAATTAGCATTGCCTCATGCTGTTATAGGATTAGTATTTTGTAGGGAAGAGAAAGAGATCAATTCCAAAAACATTCTATTAGTTATATGCGAATGGGTGGATTTCAATTCATTAGGTGTGAAATATCCACCAAAACACCTTGCACAGTAGGCAGATGTAGGCAGCCATCAAAGTATTTGCTGGAGGCTCTCACATGACTGCCAGTGGGAGGGGGGTTATTCATAAAGTTCAATGGATGCAGCCAATCTATCCATTTATCCAAAAGCAAAAATTGCATATAATCGGAAGAAAAGCAGAACCTACTGAAAATGTCTCTTCATTTTAATACAGAACATGTTCCCCGCTCCCTGGGTACAGAAAGTGAAACAAATATATTTATATCCTATTTTTTTTAATGATTTTCATCATCTCTTTGGGATAAATAGATTAGACTTCCATTTTCCTAGGTTGGCCAGTGGAACTGTTTTACTATGGTACACAGGTAATCCTCAAGCTATAATAACAGTTGGGCCTGAGATTGCCATCTCTAAGCAATGTGATCACCATCTATAATGTTACATGACTACATTGCTAAATGATAGCAATTCAGGCAGCACCAGTTACCACTTAAGTGTGTATAAGCAGGAGTTGCAGGGGTGCTGCAGGGAATTAGGGAGATCCTGAGAGGCTGAAGGTGTGGTTCATATGTACAAATGCAGAGAGGCCCAAGGAAGAAGGGCATGGTGCATTGTAGTGGGAGAGACTTACCAGAGCAACTTATGATGTTCCCTTCTGGCATCCCCAATTACCTTGCTTGTGGGAAACCAGCAGAGAAGGTCACAAATGGCCTGAACTTCAAGAACTTATTATAAGTAGCACTCATTCAGCACCATCACTGTTTCAGTTGCTGACCTGAAATAAAAAGATAAGGACCACTCTGTGGGTCCCAAGTGTCACAAATGCTATTTCAGAATTAGAATATTAATAAGCATATTCTGCCAATTATTAAGATAGGGCCACAAGATGTTTGATCCATGATATACATTTTAAAAATAGCATAATGTAGCTCTTTTAAGGCTCCTGATTGGCATATCCCATGCTTCATTAAGGCTAAAATCTGGCCAAATTTCAATAGACACCTGCATCATCCACACTGTATGCCACTGAATCATTCTAGATTCTTTCTGGTTTACAGTAACAAAAATATATAATAAAACTTCCATGCTAATAAATCACAAATCTCCCCCCCACCACTCCAAAAAACAACATAATATAGAGAGCCAATTCGTTTAGATGCCGGCCTAGAAACCAGGAGACTGTGAGCTCTAGTCCTTCCTTAGGCATTAAAGCCAGCAAGGTAACTTTAGGGCAGTCACTCTTTCTCAGCCCAGCTCACCTCACAGAAATGTAGTTGTGGGGAAAATAGGAGGAAAAAGGAGTATTAGGTATGTTCACCACTTTGAGTTATTTATAAAGTAATAAAGATGGGATAAAACAAATAAATAATGCAGTATATAAGGTTCATAGTTAAAAGATCTAGGAAACACCTATCAGTTTATACAATTTATTTATCAACTTGATATGCTCCCACATCTCAGAAAAAATTCTTAGGTGGCATATAGCAGAGGTCTCCAACCCAAAAGCTGTGGCCCATTAGTGGGCTGTGGCCTATTTGGAACTAGGCCATGTAAACAGTGGGCCATTGTGCAAGTGTGCAGCTTGATTTGCGCAAGCAGGTCAGTGGGTGTGCATACCCACATAGCTCAACTTGCGCAAGTTGAACTGTGCACACATGCACATGTGCACAAAGGTTGCAGACCATTAGCATATACCAAAAATGTATAAAACAAAAAAAACAAAACAAAAAAACATACAAAGCACATATTTAAACTTTTTGTAAAGAAAGAAGCACACACAAAAGATTAAATAAGCAACAGATTCAACACATCCAGCATTGTCATTTAAATATTTAATTAAATCAGTCCCTTTTGAGAACTCGTCTCCTTTACACAGGATAAATTCATGTTTTTATGGACAATTGGGATAAATTCATATTCAAGTGGCTTTACACAATTTTTATGCTCAACTGGCTTTGAAAAAGCTCTGTCCTTAGGTTCCAATTTGCCTAATTCAGTTACACAGCACATACTAAGAGATGTTTTCCTTCTGGAGGAGCCATTGTTCAGTGGCAGAACACCATTTCTAGAAACAAGACTGGTTTCCCATTTGCAATTTTGCAACAGAGTGTCAACATTTGACTGCAGGCATAACTAGCATCTAAAAGCAATACAAGATGATGACAGTGAAAATAAATAGTATAACTTTTATTTGCCAAAAATATTCAGTATATTTCCAATTATGATGAATGGGATAATTAGGTTGGAAAACACTCTGGATATACGCTAAACTGTAAATAAGAGTAAAATCTAAATAAGGCTGTATATGTGATATACATACAATTTATATATATCAAAGAATATCTGTGTGTGTGTGTGTGTGTGTGTGTAAGAATTGATAAAACCATTATAAAACATAAAATGGAAAATATAGACACTTAGATTTTTTTTTAAACCAGCTTATTGGCTATGAATGAGCTATGAAGCTTGATTACCTAACATACTCAATCTAGACAATCCTGTAGTATTTTTTAAGGTGCTTTTGATCATGGGTACCTATTTTAGGTTTTATTTTATTTTAGTCTTTGTTTTTCTTTATGGTTTATCTTCCATTATTGTACTCATTTAGATTTGGTTATTTATAATTATGTTGCTGCTACTTCTTTCTATTCTAAGCTATCTATAGCCCAGAATCCTTTAGGACTGGGACTGATTATAAATTCTGTAAAATAAATGAATAACTTAAATAATTGCAAGTAGTATTGATAAATAAATATACAAGAAAAAGCCACATAAAACAACTTATACAAAGCATGAAGTTATCACTGATTAACTTCAAAATGAAAACCAGCTGAATATGACTATTTTTCACCAGTAGGACAGTTCAAAACAGATGGATGAGTTGTTAAAATGATCCTACTGTATAGCCCATTTACGTTCACCATCAAGTAAGGGCAGATCTTGATTTATGAGCACAATTGAGCCCAAATTTCTGTTAATTAAGACATTCCAAATCAGGGACAACACTTGGACTACAGTTCTTAGAATTATCAGCCAATAAATTTTTTTGCTGCCTAGCAATTCTGGATTTCATTGTCCGAACACATTTGGAGGATAGCAAGTTAGGGAAAACTATACTAATCTACAGTATGGCAACTAAAAGTAAAGTAATATGATAAAATATCCTCGTGTCTAAACAAAAGTTACAGCTGCCAACATTTGAGTCCAACACCTAGAATCTAGAGTGCTTGGGGATTGTGGGATAACTAGTTACCATAGAACACATTAACATATTCCCTATGCATACATACATTTTGAAACAACTTTGTACTTTTCTTTTCAGAATTAAATGGGTTACATGGAATATGCTAAACCCTAATTAAGTAACACTAATTAGAATGTGTATTATTTATCCATGATAGGATTCATTCCTCTTCACAAGCTTGTATGAGCCATGGGGGCACAGTGGCTAGAATGCAGTACTGCAGGCTACTTCTGCTGACTGCCAGCTGACTACAATTTGACAGTTTGAATCTCACCAGCTCAAGGTTGATCAGCCTTCCCATCCTTCCAAGGTCAGTAAAATGAGGATCCAAGATATTTGGAGGCAATATGCTGACTCTGTAAACCACTTAGAGAGGGCTGTAAAGCACTATGTAAAGTCTATAAATCTAAGTGCTATTGCTTTTATATACACAGAAACGACTCACAACATTTTACGGCCAGAATCAGAATTCCTGGCTTCCTAAAAAGCAAGGTACCCAACTATTGTGGCTACCACTGTGCTTTGGCCTCTAGGACAAAAATTCCTATCCCTACCTATTGAAAAATAAAATATGCATATAATAAATACATTTTCTATTTTATGTCTTCTTTATAGCTAAGCCTCAAATTTACAAGAGAATCCAAATGTTAATAGAAACATCAGACTTCTCCAGATTATATTACAAGCTATTTAAAAAGGGAAAAACAGGTTACTTAGGACCAGTGTATCAAAAATAGGGCAGTCTTGACTTCTTTACTCAAACATTATCATTTGCGCCAACAGGATTTTGATGCCTTCTTAAGATGAATTCGCTTTCTGCTGTTGGTTTGGTTAAGAAGACAGATCCGCACCATTAAGAGTTGTGCGTGAAGCCCAATTTCAGAATCGGAGCCTTTCCTCTCCCACGCACCCGCCTTCTAAACAAGCAGCACACCGCATTACAAGGCAGCGCTTCAAGGAAGGTGCCAAGTGATAATCGTTCCTACAGCAAAGGGTCAGCATAGCTGACGAATTGCACCCCACATCCCTCCGGACGGCGCCTGGTGCAAAAATGACTTTATACACAC